TACCACAACAAAGATACTGAGACAGACTGAGAAAGACGGGCAGACAGAGAAAGAGAGAGAGAGTGCAAGTGGAAGGAGAGAATAGCAGCTAGCCATAACAGAGTTGATTGGAGAGGGCCTTATTAAATCTGTTTACAATCCCTGCTGGGCTCCATTCTGTCTGAGAGACTTTCAACTCCATGTGATGTTTTCTGAGGAGTTTTTACACCAAAATGGCTGCCTCTAATTAACAGGGACCTGCCGAGTCCCAGTGGCCAATTATACTCTTCTCCTTGTCCCTGCTCACCAGCATTTTTGCTGCTCAGCAGTCCACTTCATGTTGGTTGTGAACATTCTGGCTTTCCCTGCTCTCCCACTGTGAAGCCTAGTGCTATGGATGGAACTCACTGCCTGTCCTGCTGACTTGGTACAACACTCAGCCCTGTCAGACTCTCAGCCTCAAGATGCAGCTTCCTTTATTCACAAATGCTACTAATGTAGGAGGCAGAGCAGGACTTCTATAGATGGATGACAAATTAAAGGAAAAACCAAATTTTCAGTCACCAGATCTCAACCCAGCTGAACAACAATGGGAGGTTTTGGACCGAGGTGTTAGACAGCGTCTCCACCACTATCGTCAGAACACCAAATGAGGGACTATCTTTTGGTAGAATGGTGTTCATCCCTCCAGTAGAGCTCAGAGACTTGTAAAATCAATGCCAAGGAGCACTGAAATGGTTCTGGTGGCCTAGCACCTCACTGAGACACTTTATGTTGGTTTTTCCTTTTAATTTGTCAACCGCCAGTAGCTAAAAGTAATACATGCAGACAGTGCACAGTTGTTGGAAACATATGATACAATTGTATAATAGGGTGGCATCTCAAGAATAATGAATCAGTTTTTCAGTGCTGAAGCTTTAGAAGCTTATTTTGAAATTTTAAAGGTGCCTGAGTGTTTATGATGAGAGAGAGAGAAATTAGAACCAGAGTAGCAATGAGTAACTTGAGTAAGTCATTATGTGTCTGCCAGGAAGTCGAGGTTCTCTGGCAATGCCCAGAGTTGCAGTTAATGAAGGGTAAATTGCAAAGGTGATTTGTAATGAATGTATTTAAACTCCTACAAGATCAATATGTATATATAAATTGAGAACGTACTATAATAATAACAAAACCAATAATGTAAGAGTGAAATATTATTTATTTGCTTCCTCAAGCATATACAAAGGATGAACACTCAACCCCTGCAACCCCAGTTCTCCCTCCTACCCTCTGTCTATTGCCCCAATCCATCAACCTCTGCTTGAGTTCCAACTGTCTCAGTCAGCAGCATCACCACCAGTGCGCAGTTATTTAAACACAGTACAGTATGAGATATTACTTCATGGGTGTGTAAAATGGTTGGACCATCCATTTGGCAGCAGTAGTCTCCTTACCATCTTTGGCTGTGTCAGCAATCCCTTCTCTGCCCAGCCCTGGAGCTGTGGGAGCTCTGCCTGACGCCACTGTGTCTCTGTCGACCCCTATGGAGCGGAGCACAGGGAGGGGGGGGACGCACAGCCCACCGTCAACATCATACTGTACACTCACTTTACAAAGTTAGGGTTGTAGTTGGATTTGAGGAGTGGGGAGGTTGGGAGTGTTGGGGAAATGGCAGCTCATAAAAAAAACAAAACTCCTTTTTAGTCACTCCACCAGTGCAACTAAAACAAAAACAGGTGGCTCAGGATTTTTTTTTTTTTTTTTTTCAGTGTGCTCAGGATTTTTTTTTTTTTTTTTTTTTGGAAGTTGTGACTGGGGAAAACTACATTAGGGTAATAAGATTTAGGAAGCTGTGTGTGGGAATATTTCTTCATGGAACTGGTAAGATAGAAATAGGATAAATCCTTCAGTTAATTCAGTCTATTTTAATATCTGAGTAACTCTATAGTGAATTGAATGTAACTGTGTGTGTGTGTATGTGTGTACGGTGAAGCTGGCAGATTGGTGCGGTGACTGCAATGACCTTGGCAGAGTTTATAATGAGGGTTTCCCTTTTGCTTTCTGTGGGTAAACAAGCCTGTGGTTGAAGAGAGAAATGCCACAAATGAGCAGGAAGTGTGTTCACTAGCTCTCCAGAGCAGGGGGCTTAAATGCCTGCAGCTATCTACAGATGCTACAAGCAGCCAATTTAGCAGGAGAGGGGCAAGAGAGGAGAGATGACCTCTGCCTTCATTTACTACTACAGAGATGAAGAGAGGGAGTGAGAGATCAGATGGGAGGAGGAAGAAAAGGCGAGGGATGAATAATGGGGAAGACACTTCCAATTCTTCAAAGGAAGGGTGAGCCAGAGGTGGAGAAGGCGAGAGAGTCTGTACATGTTCTGTTGTCAGTGTGTCTTGTAAACTTAGACAGGAATGCATAATGGAGGTCTCAGTGAGAATGAACTGTCAGCTTGAAAGGGAAAAAGAAGATGCAGAGCGAGGTCAGTGAAAAAAAGGACAAGAAATATTGTTTCTGCTAGTTGACAGGTAAAGGTGAATATGAAGATATTTTTGTTACAATCGTACAGAAATATCAAGCTGAGAGCCACCTTTGTTTTAGTCTGGTGAGGACCAAAGGGTTACTGTTGAATAATTGGCAAGTAAAATATAAAAACCTTTTGTATTGTGAACATCTGACAGGGACAAATTGGTTAGAACCATTTGGTTTTTGGCTTAAATTTAATATCTGCTGTATAATAACATTTTCAAGCTTTTAGCCATGTTAGGTCAACCTCATGCAGGTGTGACTTAGCCAGTTATATTTATGACCATCTGAAAGAGCCCAGAGTGGACCGTGCCAGGGACAGCTACATCCCTGAGGTTAAGATGCCCATGCTAGTTACAATTTGAGGCCACAACAAACAGTATAGTGGCCCAACATTCACCTCATTGAGAGGGTAGAGGACAACATACTGCATGTTAAAACAACTTGTTCCATCCATTAAATGTAAGGTTGAAAAGCTACCCTGAAAAAAGTAAATGTTAAGCAAAGGTGAAACATCAAAAACATTGTTACCCCATCCTGCAAAGCCATCATTTTAAATACTATGACGGTGTGGAAGTGGATGGTGCGCCGCAGCAAGCAGACAGTGCAGTGTTATCGTAGCATGTACAAATGTGGTGATAAAAATGTAAGCAGCAGCAAGCAGATGCATATGAGTGTAGTTCAACAAATTCTAACAGCTAATGTATAGTGTAGGGGAGCATAATGTCAGCAAAAGGAGCATTATATATCCAACAAGTGTGTTTAGATCTCTGCATCCCATTTTCACAACACTACACATTGCTCGGTATTTAATGCTCAACCATTCGATAAACAGCTTCAGGCACAATACACACACACACACACACACACACACACACACACACACACACACACACACAAAATTTCACCTTTCTTCTTATTCTTGCTTCTGTCCTTGGATTTATCACGTGAACACGCATATTCTGATAAAATCTCAAATAACAGCGGGCAACACATTACATTCACCAACTGCTGAGATGAAAAAACGCTCATGGACACATTTTTAATTATTGAGAATACATTTCAGTCAGTCCTCAGATGTTGGGAAAACTTATTATATAATCAATACACTCTATAGCACCATTAATATTTGATGCCACAGAAGTGCTTCCTGTCTCCTTGGGCCCCTGGCCAGTGGTGTCTGGGTACTGCAATCAAATTAGATGAGGCTTATTCACCTACAGCAAGGAAGGGGGGCGTACATTTGTTTTCCGCTGAGAGTCAAAAATACCAAAGGCACAGGCTGCCATTGTTTGATTTACTACATGTCATTCCATTTTGAGGAATTCTTCCATACTGTGCACAGAGCTGATCTCCCCTATGCCTATGTCACTTGTGGTATAAGCTAAAATGTAAGATAACCATTGAGTCTTTTGTCTTTCTTTTCTCTTTTTCACTTTAGTCACATCACATTATCCACTGCTGGTGCAGACTTCCCTCCCCCTTTCTCTTACAGAGCTTAGACAATCAATTTACCCTGACTTGGCTGGGATAGGTGGAGGCTCCAGAGACTGTGGAGTAGACAGTATGCTGCACGATCTCTGCACTGATAGACACACTGCCTGGCAGCTACAAAATGGAGCCAGCACGCAACCATCTGACTCCTCCTCACCATCTTGCTTCTTTATTTGAAAGTTCCTTATGCTTTTTTTATTTGATTGTGTTAAAAAAACAGTTTGATATTCAATAATCTGACAGAAAATATTGCCTAATTCTATTTTATTGTCAAATACTGACATTTTAAGTATATAAATACATTCAAATAGACTGAAAATCTGTACCATGCATCCCCTTTTTACTACTACAAAACATCTGCACCTGATGCTACTAAACACAGGCTGAAACTCCCTCTCAGTCCCCCAAAGTGCTACTGAACTTGAGTTAGTGAATTGGAGTTCCTATAAACCTGGCTGAGACACAAAGAGATTAATACAACTTTACTATCTCAGCTTCTTGGCCAGTCAAGCTCCCTGTAATGCTCTCTGTGATATTGATTTTTATTTTTCTCCTCTCCCTTTCTTCTTGGCTCTTTCTCTCTCACCGTCTCTCCACTTCCACCAGCAGAGCTCTGAAATGTCCTGCAGGTCAGACGGATGTTGTGCCAGATCAATCAAGGAAAGCAATCTGGGACGACTCATGGACGCAAGCACACACACAAACACACATTGATGCTCACCACCCCACACACACCCCTCCTTTGTTGCACTCTGGCCCGTCTGCCTCCAGTCTCATCGATCTGCATCTACTTTACCAAATGGATTCTTCTTCTCTTCTATCCTCCTCCACCTCTTTTCTCTCTGTGAGACTCAGAATAATAAATGCTCCAAATCGCACAAGACCTATACATAAGCAATTTTTCATTTAACTTTATCTTGACTTTTTTCCCCTGTCTTCTTTCTTTCTTGTGATGCTGCAGTTTTTCAGTGAGATCAGTGGAACTTTCCCACACACTCCCTCACCACTCTTGGGTAATTAGCACATACTGGAGTGAGGTCAGAGGTCAGTAGATGAAATGATGGCCAATTGCCAAAGGGTCTGTCAAACAGGACATATATAAATCATTTCCAGATTTATGCTTGACAGACAACTACAGGATGAGTCTGAAGGCAAATGAGTCTGACATAAAAAAAGATTTTGTCACATGTTTTAGTTCATATTTATAACTGAAACAATGTATCATGTTTTATTCTTTTCAGATGTGGATTAATTATTTTCATATAAAAACTTTTTTTCTAAAATTCTTTCATGCTTTGTTGTTGCTACTCATTTGTTGAGCCTTGTAACTCACCCTAGTGCCTCTACAACCAAGTGGATATGTAACTGACTTGGCTAGCCACTAGCTTCCCTAGGCTATTCTTACTCATGAACATGGGCTATTTAACATATTTATGTAAGGTCATGTTCGCTTAATTAATAATACATTGATTAATTGTATCACAAAGACATTACCTCATTTTAAAATGCAATTTGTTTGGCACACAAAGTTCTAGGCATTAATTTTTTTTTCTACCAAGGCCAGTGGCTAGCCTAGGAATTTCTAGTGGCTATCCGAGTTAAACATATCCACTGGGTTGCCAACGTAGGAATATGAGTTACTAGACTCGTCAAATAAATAGCTCAGCAAGTGGGTAGCCAGAATCTTATTTACCACTTCCAATTTATCAATGGCCAAATCAGATACCGGTCTTGATATACATAACAATAGGCTACTGCAAATTATCAGTAGTCTGACTTTTGGCACTTTCACTCCACCATATCTGAGAACCTGCAGTCCTCCACACATACTGTATATAGTCACATTCACTCTCACAGATTAAATAAATGCGCGCGCACACCATATTCTCTTTTGCTCAGCCAAACTGTAGGCGGAACTAGAGCCATTTGTCCATTGGCTGAATCCCAACTCTGCACCAACACATGCAGAAAATTAGTGAGCATCTTGACTCTGGAGATGACACTTCAATTTATGCGGCTATGGTGACTGGTCCTCTGCAGTTCCTCCCTTGTGGGGGTGTGAGATCAGCTGGACACCTGCCTGGCTGTTTGGCTGAACCCAGTAGCACAGGGACTGGGCCTTGGAATTGAAGATTTGGTCTTGCCTGTCAGCCAAAGTCGCTGTCTCTCAGCCCCAGCCCTGGCCTGGCCTGCCCTCTAAGGTCCTCATCGCAGTTCCCCTAGTTTCACTTCTGTGCCAGGAACAGTCCCTCACTTGATGCCCCTACCCTCTATTTCTCCATCTAATCCTCAACTGCAAGTAAATACAGTGGCATCATTTCCAACAGCAGTATTTCCTTGAACAGCATCAATTCTCCTTAAACAGTTTGCCAGGCTTTGCTCCAGTTCTAGCTGCTGCAGCCAGCACCTTGGCCTCCAGCTCAGTCAGATCAGCACATCCCTGTTGTGCATTGCTGCCTGTCCTGCTGTAATCTGAATGTGACGAATGGAAGCAATCACTGTTGAGACTCATAGCTAGGAT